ATTTAGTATGATTGTCTCTTTACAAAGTGTCATGTTTTAGTTTTTAAACCAATACTATCAAATGGAAAATGTCTTACTATTATATTTCTATTTATAAGTTATTTTAAATATATTTTATTAAAATTAATAAAAATTTTAAATTTTATTAACTCTGTCTAAAAATTTAATAAGTTATCAGCTTTATCCTTATTAAATCTATATATTTTAATAATATTTTTTTCCAACATTTAATGAAGGGTAAAAGAAAAAATTATAATAAAAATTTAATGACGTTATTTACAAATAAAAAAATCTTATCTTTTTATTTTATTAATAAGACCAAAAGAATTAGTATATAACCATGGATTTGGTGTGAGAAGCCATCGGATGGAGTGAACTAATTAAACAGTAATGGGAGTGATGATAAATTAATAACTGAGTAAGAGAAGCCACCAAATGCAAATAATTAACGAGTGCACTGAAAAGGACCGGTGGTGTTGTGCAATAAAGTAAATAAATACAAAAAAACAATTAAAAATTGAAAATCATACGTGGCAGGGGATGGAATAGAGACCGTGTGGAGAATGGTGTTATGGTGGCAACCTGGCAAATGGCAATCAATTTCAAAGGACAGAGACAAAGCAAATGTTGGAAGAGTTGTGAAACGAGTTGGAAAGGCCAAGCTCACATGAGCCTGAATTTTTAAATTTAATTTTTAATTTTTTAATTTTTTTATACCTAACTCTTATTTAAAAGGTTTAGGGTCGATCTCGTAAGCCCTGTTTTAAAAAAAATTGAAACAAAATCAAGCACCATAAATTAATTAAAATATTTCAAAATTTAAAAAAAAAATCTTTTAAAAATTAAATAACACACATTTAAAAGTTTAAATTAATTATAATATTCGTCAATAAAACCCTTATAGAACCCTCAAAGTGGGTGAGATGCAAGAGGCGTGAGGCTAAGTGGCAAGGAATGAGAGGTAGAGACCAAGTGAAATAGAGTAGCAATGGCTGAGATCAACTATGGTTGAGACTCATAAGTGGTAAGGGAGAGATGAGCTAGGACAAGTAAGAGGAAAAGGCAATTGTAGGCAATAGGGTTCAGAAAGTTAAGTGAGGAGTAATTAAGGTTCACAATTTAGGCATTCAGCAGGTACTTCTTGGTTTTTAAACATATGTTCCATAAAAAAAATTAATAATAATATAATCAAACTTGAAAGGTCATCTGAGCTCAAACCTTTTTTTAACAAGACTTATTAGGATCAGGCTCTCAAGCTCAATTACTTTTAAAAAAATAATTTTCAAAATATGAACTCTTATTTAAATTGGATTTTTAAACTCAACCCTTATTCCTGACTCTAAGTGCTAGCGATGTGAAGTAATATGATGGTCCCTACCTAGTAATGTGATCCAATCCATGCTAACATGGACTCGCTATCACCTTGCCTATTGCCCCCTTATCATTTCTGCACTTTCTCTCCCTTCCACGACACCCCAATTCCACTCCCACCACCGCACTTCACCCCCTTCCCTTCTCTTGAGCTATTGTCTATTGAGTATTGATTGATTTCATGTGCCATGACTCCGTCCTATAGAAAAGGAAAAGGGATAAAAGTACTGACAAAATCATTAGTTAAGAGCGTTTAGCATCTTCAAATGGAAAAAAAAGTGCATGACTAGCTGTTAAATGTCACTGGTGTTCGTTAATTTTTTATCATTAATGTTGAGTCTCCTTGCTAGGTGTCAAGATCGACTAATTTGATTGTTCCTATTTCCATCCTAATTCAACCAAAATCCTTGAGCTCCTCTTCTTATCTACATATTCAAAATCTGGGAGCTTTTTTATTTTTTTTCCTGATCTTCGAGCATCCTTTGAGATTCAACCAAAATTTGTGGAAGCCAAGAATAGCGCCTTTACATTTAACCTTCTACTTCCTCCAATCCACAACTGTCCAAGCCTTGGCACTCCCCTTGCTTTGCATTGCCTCCTGCCATTACAATTCATTGCAGTTGCAGCCTGCTTGTGTTGAGTATGAGAAGACAAAGGCTGGGTGTAGTTAAACACAGGCTTACACGAATTTCGTGTCTTGTTCACGCGACAATGGAAATTGGAAGACCAATGAAGAATCCCAACCCACCATATTTGTCCTTTAACCTTTTATACCCTTTCTGTGTAGGTTGGTTGGATCCATCAACCCACGCTGCTTCTCAGATAGGATGAGAATAGATAAAGATGTTTAAGAGGGAGAAATAGAGTTTTCAAAAGAAATATTTAAGCTAATGATGGATTTTTGCTTGCCATCTTTCCAACCGAGATGCCACAACTCTTCCTTTAGTGTATGCAGATCTAACTAACTAGGTTGGTTGTAGGCATGGGCTTTCTCAAAGCAGATCACCATCCTTAATTTCAACATTTGCACAGTTTCAGTTTTCTTCCCTTTCATGGGTACCGACGAATAGATAAATTGTATGAGCCTTTCTTCTCAATTTTAAACACGTGTCCTATTGTATGCGTTGCTGGAAAAGAATGAAGGCAACACCTTGGAGCTAGCTAACACAAACGATTGTGAAAAATGAGAGGGAGAGAAAGAAGGAGAAGGAGGCACTGAGACAATCCAAGTGCTTGGCATTGACAAGTGGCAAGTCAAAATAGTCAACATTGATAGGTGGCAAGCACATTTAGCATTTAACATTAAAAATTAATGGACATCTGAGCAAATTAATAGTTTAATTATGCTTGTACTGACTTAAATAATACTATAAATACCTGTGCACATTTCCTTGTTTTAGAATAATAAATGCTATTGATCAATAACATTGTGAATATTTTTGTCCCCTTGCCCTATAAAAAAAAAAGAGAATGATAATAAAGCCCCAAAATTTAAAATTTATGATAGTTAAATATTTGATAATTTTTTTAAAAAATAAATTATAATTATTGATTTAAACAATTGCAAACTAAAAGTTATATTTAAAATTTAAATGTTTTATTTGCAGTTAGAACTCCTTAATTTATAATTACCTGAATCAATATTTACAATTAATTTTTTTAAAAAATTATTGAAACTTAACTATCATAAATTTTAAATTTTTTGACTTTATTATTATTCTCCCAATAAAAAAATCATGGGAGGATCACATCCAATCCCTTTAAGAAAATTAATTATAGATAAGAATTAATAATAAATCTTATTTATTAAAAAATAAATTACTTTTTATTTTAACAACAATTTATTTTATATTTGCTTTTATTTGTAATTAATTTTTGTTGAGGGAGATGAACGTGATTCTCTCAAACATCATTCATGAGCGTCTAATCATCAAAATATATATATATATATATATATATATATATAATCATTCATGTGGGTCTTCAAAATGTCAATCCGGGAAGAAACTGTGTGCTTTTTTTAATATGTACGGGGAAACTATGTGCTTGCAATCATGGACCATTACCATTATTTCTTTTGGCCGAGGACCATTACTATTTTTGTTAATAATTATTCACTTAAACAAGCCTGATTTCTCATTCATTTTTTATAATTCATGTAAATTTAAAGATGCAAATGCTTATGCAAAGAAAAAGAAGCACAAGGAAAAAGAAGCACAAGGAATGAACACTAACTACAATCGAATATGAAATATCAATAATTTATAAAAAACTCCATGGAAGTTTTAAAGAAACTGTATCGTCAGAGACATGTAGAATATTTGAATCCATCAATTGCGGGTTTCACTGCAGGAATGCTATTGCCTACAGAAGTCCTAATGAATTATCCACCAATAAAATGCACACATGATAATAAAATCTAATTGGAGAAAACGGTAAATTAACTTTTAAACAGGAGGTTGAGGAGTGTGCGTGATATGTGGCGCAAAGTTTTTCTTCGACTTTTCAATACGATACAATATAATTATTGTTATTTACAAATATTAATTTTAATAATTAATTAATAAAAAAGTTATAGAAAATAATTTTAAAAGTTGCATATCTTTTTGGTCCTTTTTTGTATTTTTTAATCATTATTTGTAATATTCGGTCATTTTTTCTGACATTTTCTTGGTCTTTTCATACGATTGAGTTATTTTTTATAATTTTATAATCAATTGATAATTAAAATTAACATTTATTAATGATGGAAGTATATTGCACTATTTTAAAATATTGAAGGGGAATATTGTACCAACAATGAGTTTAAAATTCTAAATATTCTTGAACTTATAATTTATAAGCCAATTTATCATTTAATATGATCTAAATTTATGAAATTAGGACACAAGTTAAATATAAATTTTTTTGATGAAAATTAAATTAATATCAATTTTAAAATAAAAAAGTCATCTAGCTATGAAGGCAGTTTGTCACATTATTTATCTATGCATTCTTCCTTTAATCTCTATGTTCAATGCAATGTAATGCAAGACACTTTCTATAAATTTGATCCAACACATTTTATTATATAAAGAAATGCTAGTACTATCTTTTTATTTCTTTTTTTTTTTTATATTAAGTACCTTTTATTTCTGCCCACACTGATTAACGTGCGATGAATAGTTATATATGAAAAATTATGGGCGTTGGTTGTGCACAATAATAAAACTAAAAAAATAAACATTTTTTATAAAACTTTTTTTTCTCTATATACACCGTACAACATACATCTTAAAAGATGTGAACAATCTTAAAAGAGATTGTAAATTATGAGAAAGAAGACGTTATTTCGTTAAAAAATATAAAATATTTTTTAAAAAATTAAATATTTTAAAAATATAAAATATTTTTTTAATTTTTTAAGATGTAATTATTTTTTTAAAAGTATTCTTGTTAATAAATAATTTTATATTTATTATAAGATATTTAATATAAATAAATATAAAAAATAAAATTAATTTAAAAATAATAATTATTTTATTAAAGAATAAAATTTAATTAAAAATATTTTATATTTTTTAATGAATTGGATATATAAAAAAAGAAAGAAAGCGAAAAACACGACGTCAGACGCAGGCCTTTTTTATCGCATCCCACATCTAGCAATAATGTCTGATGAGCGTCGAATGCTGAACCGGTGATCCCCATGATTTGTGTGCAATTTTGACCCGTTCCTCAGGGACAGCCTTATAAGTCTCTTATATAGCATCCAGGTCCTGCATCATTTCCAGTGTGAGACGATTTCTCCTCTCAGATTCTCAAGCCTCCGTGCCGTTCTCTGGCTATCACCAGGCCATGTGATGCCTGGACTTCCCAACGAAGCATGAGATACTCACAACAAAATTACAACAATCAAAGAGTTAGCATCTCAAATGTCATGAAATCATGGCTCTAATGGCTACTAGAACGAAGCTTGCGAGAGTTCTCACTGCTCTCTCTGCTCGAATGCCAAATTCGAGATCAGGGTCTAGCTGCTCCAACCCATTTGACGCGCTCCATAAGTTCTCTTCCTCTTACTCTTCCGTCGCTCTGGCTACCGAGGAATCAGAGACGATGAGTTCGCGATACATGGGGTTGGAGACGCTGGGAATCAAAGATTACGAGGATTACAGGAAATCCCGTTACGGTGACATCACTCACAAGGCTGTTCTTGTTGATGCCGTTGGCACTCTTGTTGTGCCCTCTCAACCCATGGCCGAGGTTGGTTTACTCTCTTGTTAGACATCGATATATCCTACGACGCATGCATTTATGGAATGATTTTCCTAATTTAGTGCGACTACAACTTTCTTCTTCATTCTCCATCGATGTGCTTGTGTTCTGATTGCAAATGAACCCATTCGGATGTTGGCTTGTTGCATTGTAGATATATAGAAAAATTGGGGAGAAGTATGGGGTAGAATACCCAGAGGACGAGATTTTACACAGATACAGAAGAGCTTACGGGCAGCCTTGGGGTAAATCTCGGCTCAGGTGCGTATCATTTTTGTGAGTTGATAATCTTATTTTGGGTTCCCCCTCTTATGACGTGTATTTAATTAATTAATGTGTTCATATATTAGATCATTAACCAACACTGCCTAAAATTTGGTCATTTATTGCGAATTCGTTTTGAAGAATGATTTTCTTGTGATCTGTTTGGCCCACAAAATTTCTCTGCCTAATGCTCCTTTTTATTAGGAGGTATCAGAGTGACTTCCATAGCCCTCCTGTATTTTTCGAATTTAGATCTTTTTGAGCTAACAAAGGCGCAAAAAAAAAAAAAAAAATCGCCTAATATTTTGAATCTTGGTTCATAATTTAGCATTAAAATTCGTGTATTATGAAGCAAGGGCAATTTGATAGATGGGTTGTGACTGTGTTTAACATATATTAGAAGGTTGCGTTGAACAACAGAACACTTCAGAATGGACTAATTTTGTTTTATTTTACTTTCTGTTGTGCGTTCTTACCCATTCTTTTGGCTTTGGCCATTTTTATCAGAGTGATCACTGAATTAATGATGTATGTCTCCACTGCAAGATCCTTCTCGGTTGCTTCTACTTATAAAATTTAAGATCATGTAATCTCGAAGAAGAGGATTCTTATGACATATGAGTAATAACAAACCTATCTTGGCAGAAGTTCTTGTTCTTTGTATCTGCAAACTCCATATTTCGGGAACAGAAATAACCAACACTTGTGATTCAACAGATGGAATGCAATAAGCACCATGTAGGTTGCAACACAAACAGGCAGCTTTTAAGTCCTTTAGTTGCCTTTTCCATCCTGCCGTATCTCTTCTTTAAGAATACTGGCACAACATGCAACATCCTTCCAGCTGTTCCCTGAATCCTGAGGGATCTACCTCTCACTGCTCTCAGTCACATATATTTGCTTAAGCATATGATATCAGTCCATATCATCCAAGTGAAGAACATAGTTTTGATAACACTAAATGAACACTATATTCTCAAGCATGTTATGCAGAACTCACTTTTCTGAGCTTTAGAAAGTTGTAGCCTATGCGCCACTGGTTGGCTTTTAAATGTGAGGTGAATTTAGGGTTTGACCCAGGATAAGCTTTTATTTTTTTCCTCGTAACTTATATTAATTGCTGTTGGGGATGTAACTAGGTATTCAACGGTGGAGGTAATCAACCTATTATCATCTTTGGTTTTGACTAAGACTGTATTTTTCAACTGCAGATATGTTAATGATGGCAGGCCCTTCTGGCAATACATAGTTAGTTATTCCACTGGCTGTTCAGATAATCAGTACTTTGAAGAACTTTATAACTACTATACGACAGATAAGGTCAGACCTTTTAAAAACCATTGATATTCATTGTGGGTTTATGCAACCTTTGGGTCGCAGCTTTTTGATATTTTTCCCTATCTATCATTCATAGGCATGGCACCTCTGTGATCCTGAAGCTGAGAAAGTGTTCAAAGCAATTAGAAAATCAGGTGTAAAGCTGGCTGTTGTGTCAAATTTGACACTCGATTAAGACCCCTACTGAAGGCATTGAACTGTGATAACTGGTTTGATGCAGTAGCAGTATCAGCTGAGGTAGCCCAAGTTTATTTTTGTTATTGTTGAAATAGTTTGTGTTATTGTTGAAATAGTTTTTGTTGGGAGCAGGTTCTCCTGCCCCCTTCTTTATCCCGCTACTGCTTGCAACTTTATTGATCGTCATAAACAACCCAAAGTATCTTAGACTTTCAAAAAAGAAATGGCAGCAATGAATTCCAATTATTCTGTCTTACATCTCGCAGTTTGATCCTTCAAATGAGGCCGCCTCAGCCTGGTGCTAACTCCTTCCTCCTTGTCACACTTAGTTGCGTTTAGGCATGATGTAATGCACTTGCTAGCCTGATCTGACTACCCTTAGATTCCTCGTTCTTTCATTCTTTGTTCATTCTTTTCTCACACGGTCTGTTGGAAGGTTTGGGGAAATAAGTTCTGGGTTTGTTTTGGTCCGACACCCACCCACTTCCATTTCCTTCCTTCTTTATTTTTTTGACCTTTTTCCCAAGTGTGATATATCAACTCTTCTTATTCTCATTGAACCAAAAGTGTAATATATCTTATTCTCATTGAACCAAAAGTGTAATATATCAACTCTTCTTATGCAAAGGAAAGATGCCATGTGCATGAGATGACATGACTACCCAATATCCTTAGATTGGTTTTGTCCTAAAAGCCTGCTATAGGGTAATGCCATCATGTGAATCACAAGTCACCGTGTCCTCCACATCATCTTGTCAAAATTAATGGAGACACATGCATTTGCCTTTAATTGGAATAAAGAAAAACCAAAGAGAGCTATGAAAGATGAGGCCCTCCTAAGTCTCTGAGTAGTGCACAAGTTGGAAGGCGTGGAACCGCAGGAAATCACAATCCCAGACTTTCTACACCTTCGAATTCTTAAATCTTCAAAATCTGTTCCACGCAGGAAAACACAGTCCTAGACTTTGTACACCTTCGAGTTCTTAAATCTTCAAATCCGTGGTCGTGTGTCATTATTCTGAAATCTTCACTCCGGTACCCCCCCCCCAAAAAAAAATAAAAAATAAAAAATGTCATGAGCTCACCCGCTTCTTTACACTAAATATCTATGATTTCTGAATTTCTATGTGATGGTGGGTGGTTTTGTTTTTGTCAAACAGGTTGAGGCTGAGAAGCCAAATCCAACGATATTTCTTAAAGCATGTGAGTTGTTAGGTGTAAAACCTGAGGACGCTGTTCATGTTGGGGATGATCGTAGAAATGATATATGGGGTGCTAGAGATGCAGGCTGTGATGCCTGGCTTTGGGGAAGTGATGTTCATTCCTTTAGGGAGGTATGTTAGCATCTCCATCTTAGGTGCTTTATTTGTTTTGAGGAAACTAGGGGAAAACAATGTTGTTTGCATAGATGATCTTTCCGTAGTTTGTTTTCATCATCAATTATAGATCTTCCGACAGTTGAAAGTGCATAGATTGTTTTTTTTTTTTTAATGAAAATTAAAAGTTGGTTTACAGAATAGCTTTTCAAAACAAAAAATGAGAATAAAGGCAAAGAAGCATTATATATATGTGTGTGTATATATGTATATATTTTTGCGTTTTCAGTTTGAACTAGGCCTGCAAATACTTAAGCGGCTCGAATATTTTTTTGCTGATGCAGGTAGCTCAGAGAATTGGGGTCGAAGTCCGATAGATTAAATTAAGCATAGGTTGAAGAATGCTTTGTAATACATATCTTTAGTGAGGGTGAGTATGTTCAGCTGAAGTCTAAAATTTTGGTAATTTTCCAAGTATTATTTGGTGGCGTGGGCCAGTCTGTAACTAGCATAGACCAGAAATGGAAAGTGCGGGAAGAAGCTTTCATCTTTCCAAAATTCACTGGGCCAAACATGATTACTTGTCTAAGGTTTCGTCATAAGTAGGAAAGACTTGCAATTGCAAGGCACTCCTTCCGCTACATATTATAGGGTGCATTTTAAAAAAATCTTTAATCCTTAATGTAAGATGCTTATTGTAATATTAATTATGTTTTTGAAATATTACCCAGTGGCGAAGCTATCTAGATCAGAGGGTATGGAGTATTTTCTTAAAATTAAAAGCTCAAAAATAATAATTTAAAAATTTAATTACATGTTTTATAATCATCCTCTAGATTTTTAAATAAGTATATAATAATTTTATTGTGATGTTATTAGAAGCATTTTCTTAAATGTAGCCATACTAAATTACTATTTCGTTAGTGCTGCCTGTTTTTCATGATATTTGAGTAAACAATAAAGGTTTTTTTCCCCCATTGCAATAGCAATATAGAAAATCATTGTTAACTCTATAGCATAAAGTTTTTGGATTTGAGCATGTGCATATGTAGAAATTTTTTTTTTTTGGAGAAATGTTCAAAGTGGGCCCGACAGAGTTTGAATATGATTCATTAAGATAACTATATAAAAAAATAGTAGATAAATTATAAATATGAATTTTAAATTAAATGGTGTTACACGTATCAATAATAGAAGTCTCAAATTGGTTATAAATATTGTTGAATCATTTAAAATGAATATTGAAAATCATCTAGATTTTTAGGGGGCACGAAATCTTATGGGTAGGGGGGAAATACCAAAATTTATACCACTTTCATGTAATCTTTCAAAAAATGAGGAGATGCATGTGCACCTACTCAAATATGTGTCTATGCTTTTAATTACCTCCATTTAAATTTATTAATTATGATAGAATATGCAATGTAAGTTTAAATTTTTTATTTAAATAGAGATAATTTTGGAAGTTTATTATTTTTTGAACAAAATTAATTATTTAATCACTTCTATGTGATTTCAATAAAGTGATTAAAGATGCCTTATAATAAGGACCACATGGAGTAAAAACTGGGTATTTTCTCACTATTAGCTAACTTCACCATTAATTATTGTGAACCGATGAACACTGGGGTAATAAGAAAACAATACTAGCCATATATTAGTGACACTCAATTGTATTTACAAGAGCCACGTGTCGTGTCCTGTATCGAAGGGACTTAAGGAGAATGCTGACTATATAAGCGAGCACTACACATTCCAACATATTAGTCTTTTGAGAAGAGAGTAATAGGCCTGTGATAAAGTGATATTAAAGCTAAATCCATGTTTGCCTCATCATGTGGGACACCTATGATGGGGATCACGAATTGGTTGGGGGGAGCTGTCATATCTCGCATCAGAGGAATCAGAGGAGGGTCCTAACTGTATAAGCGGGTGCGTTATATACCCCAACAGATTAGCCTTTTGGAGAGGGAGTAATGGCACTGTAACAAGCAGCTCCTAAGAGATCCCAAAAATTAACAATTCTTTTGACTGGGCTTGTAAGCTTATTGAAGTTCAAATATGTAAAACAAAATCCTTGTACCCATTAACTTATCATGGAGATAGTCCTCACATTTATTAATGGACAGTCGAAGCTAGCACATGCAGACAAGAATATGTAAGTGCATTAATTAAGACTTGGGCTATTAAACATATATAGGATCTCTTATAAATATTTTAGTTTGTGTAGATGAATGTAATTACTAAATATATTATTGCCAACTAGGAATACATACATTTTGGTTTGCGATTATATGAATTGATACTGTGGGTATCTCAATCCGGACATATACATTGGTGATGCATGTGGTAAGAAGGTTAAGATATTAGTACAAGTGTATATTTAATATATTTTGAATTGGTATGATGCAATTTAAACGACCAAAAAGTAGATTACATGTAAATGTGAAATGTAGCTTTATCCTGTGAGAAGTTAGGCTTTTGAGTGGCTAACTGTGATTTGAATTACATGATTGTTATCATAATTATTTGATCAGGTGTATTTAGGTTCATTGGATATGGTTTAGGCCCCAGTTATGGTTAGTAACACAGGTTTATTGGTTATGTATGTGGATATGTGAAGATGGCTTAAACGTAGTCACTTGGTATCCAAATGTTTAATTTTTAAATGTGATATCGAATTGGAACAAAACCTATGTTATTAGTTTGATTATCAAACAGACTTCGTGTGAATGTTTAATTTACTCCAGTCGAATGTCAAATAGAAAAATAGCATATGCTGAAAGTTCATTTGATGAGTTATCATTACAGCAAAGTGCTGTCATGAAAAGCTACATGTATCGTGGAACACGGTGACATGCCATGGTGCATGACACAAAACGAAACGTTGGCTCTTTGTACCATATGCCATGTCATACAGTACATAAGTCGATGCATGCTTTTCTAAATGGATGAAAAAATATCATCTTGCCCCTATTTTTCTCAATTGAAATAATATTATGTGTTTCCATGCTTTTGGTACTTTTAAAAACTTATTAGTTTGAGTTTAAATTATCAATTGGAAGAGTTTTGGGATCCCAAATGATTTTAAAATTTTATAAATTTAATTTTAATCCTTCCATGATTAAGGTAAACTTAGAGACTTAATGACTTATAATTACCATTGGTTGTGTGTGGGTAACGTGTGGATATTTGACTCTTCTACTCCTTCCCTCATAACGCTTGCATTCTCTTGGCTTCAAATCTCAAATAAAAATTAATTTTATGTCATTAATTTCTAAACGAGACAATTAAATTAAATTTTATAAATATAATATAAAATTTATGTAATTTTTAAACTATATAAATTAAAAATAAATTAATCATCATGTCAATAAAAATAAAACTTAAATTAAAATAATACTATTGATTTGAATTTGAATTTTAATATTTTATAGAACATATTGATTGATGCTATCTTGATGATGATTATTAACCCAATGAAGCGGCAAAGAAAAACTAAAAGGGTAAAGTAGCAAATCTGGCCATGCATTATTTTTTTAGGAGTATCAGGTAGCCTAAACTATTAATGACATTATTTTTTAGGAGTATTAGTAGCCTAAACTATTAAATGGTATAAAATAAACTATGAATTTTAAAAAATGGAGTATCTAGTAGTCCTTTATTAACTTCGGTAGATGAATTTTATGTGGGGCCCACAATGATATGTGGCACTCCACGAAAACTCCACATAAGCATGTGTAAAGTGTGAATTTAGTTATGAATTATTTTTTGAGGAGTTTTGGGCAGTCTCCACTATAAAAAACAAGCCATCAAACACCTTCCCATCAAATTTGATCAAACATAATTTATTTTCATACTTATGAGATCCATAACGTATTAATCTCTCCAATCTTCATGTCTTGATTCTCAATCTCAATTAGAGAAGAAGATATTCAAAAAGTTTTTATTTGAAGGGATTCATGAGGACGACATCAATGTATTAAAAGCTTGATTTATCACGCATGAGAGAATCTTGATTCTAACTTAATTTAGCCACATATTATAGCATCGATTTCGTAGATGTCTTTAAATAAGAACTATTTGAACTTATTTTCAAGCTGAAAGTGAGAATGAATGCAAAAAAAATGGAGAGATTGATGTATTATGGATCTCATGAGTTTGAAAATAAATGATATTTGATCAAAATTGATGGGAAAGTATTGAATGGTTTGCTTTTTATAGTAGAGCTTATCTAGTGCTTTTAAGAAAATAATTCATGGCTAAATTTACATTTTTATACATGTTGATGTGGAGTGTCATGCAGGCCTCACATAATATTCATTCATTGAAGATAACAGTAAGTTATTGATGCTTTATTTTTAAAAGTTTATAATTTATTTTATATCATTTAATAATTTAGATTATTAGATGTTTATGAAAAAAATAATATGCAGCCAGAACCTTCACCCAAAGCTAAAACCTCAGTTTCTTCTTTTTTGTCTCCCGGAGCCTGCAAAATTTCTAAATTTAAAAAATGCGATTATAAATAAAACTAAATCAACATGAAGCCAACCGGTCAGCGTCAAGTTCAAGAGAAGGTATGAAACTGTAGGCGGGAAAAGATTTTGAAAGACAATCAGCTCTCTCCCTTTCTCGTCGGCGGCACGTCTCGGGACTCGGGCAGGCTCGGCGGCGACAGCTCAACGATACCTGACTATTCGGGTCCTGTTATTTCTAACTCATTTTTTCGGAAACGGATAGGGATGTGCATAATTTACTTCCAGAGTATATGCAAAGCCCTAAATCACACCTCAAACAGAACATCACCAACCAGTTCGATTTTCTCTGGAATTTTGTATGCGCTCAACCTTCCATCAGCTTGATTGATCAGAGCTCAGCTTGGATGTCTCAGTTCACATTTCAGAGGCAAAGGATCCTGAAGGGCTGAAAGTAATTATCAACATCCACTGGCAACAGAAGTAATTTTACGGTGATTATTTCTCCACTTCCCAGCCACTGCACAAAAAGCACTGGAGGGGATCCGTTCCCCATTTTTTCATGGAGAGAATACACGTCGCCGTCCGGCCAAGGCCTCTATCGTCTGAGGACGCTAAGACCAGCCCATGGAGAATCTCTGGCAATTCCATCTTCATCCTTAACCAGTCCAACAAGTTTGAATTCGGTATGCCCCTCTTTTTTCCTTTTCCACTGTATTTTGGGCCAGTTATCTTCATTTGTGTTTTTCTTTCTTTCTTTATTTTTTTACACATTACGCTCGCAGATCAAATTTTCCGTGAAGATTGTAACACATTTCAAGTATATCAAACTTGCACCAAGGACATAGTTGCCGCTGCTGTTCGTGGATTCAATGGTACTCTCAATTTATATAAAAATTAATTAATTTATATGACAATTACTATATATTGCGTACTTGGTTCTGTGTTCCATAAATTTGTTGGTTTTCGAATAATTATTATTATAAGATAATTTTTGGTTTTAGTTCAAATTTTTTATTTTTTGTGAATCCAAGGAACTGTTTTTGCCTACGGTCAAACGAATAGTGGGAAAACCCATACAATGAGGGGCTCGCGAACAGAACCAGGAGTTATCCCTCTTGCTGTGCATGATTTGTTTGAGATTATCCAACAGGTAATAACCATCCATTCTTAATCTATCCAATATTATCCAAATCTTGTATTGCTCTTTCAATTCAAAGACGGTGTTGAATTGTCGGTGGTTAA